TGTGTTTGCCGCTACTCTGTATATGCTAGCATATGCGGGCCTTTGTATATACACGCACACACACCCGTTATCATCTGCATAAAGAGACTTCGCTCATCAGATACAGTGTGTGATATATACTTATATCGATACAACTAACTATGATAGGAGAAGGTACACCTTTGTACGCTCGGCCGAGTGGGTGCTGTAGGCGGGGGTTGGTTTGACGTTTGACCGGTATGCGTACGGTTCTTAGCAGCTGAAGTTATATATTGTAAGTATGTGAAAGTGGTCCGTCATGGCGAGAATAGTAGTAACACCCCCTCTACTTCGCTATGCCGAGACCGTGCTGGTGGTGTGGACAGTACAATTGACTGTAGCGTACCTGTAACATATGCTGAAGTTCCGTTATCTTTTGTACGGTAAATTGGAATCAGGATCAGGATTGACATTAGGATTAGGATTGACAATCCCCTTTTGCCATAGAGAATTTGAAATACTATTATTTGAGATGCAGGACAACTCACCGATTTTTATTATAAACCGTGTTAAACACAGGGCACACCACGGCGCTTTATTCTGTAGGTCTGATGTACAGCAAAGGTATCTCCGTCCCTCAGAGCTGTAATCTGGCCACAGACGTAAGTGGAATACACCAGATTCTGTGCGTGTACAGATACATGCTTGCACGCAGTTATATACAAACTTGTACACTTACGGTCACAAGTGTGCGTACTCCTACTGAGTACCTACATATATGTGCATACCCGTACCGAGTACATCCATATGTGTGCATGCCTATAGTCTCATTCTCACGTGTACTTCTACTGACACTTGTATACTCCCCGGGCGTCTCCGTAGCTCGTCAAGGCCGTGGTTACACGCAGTTGTATACAAAATTGTACACTTACGGTCGCAAGTGTGCGTATTCCTACTGAGTACCAACATATATATGCATACTCCTACCGAGTACCTCCATATATGTGCATGCCTTTAGTCTCCTTCTCACGTGCACGTCTACTGACACCTGTACACTCCCCTTCCATCTCCGTAGTTCTTTAAGGCCGTGGCCGAGAGGGGGCGATGGGCGGAGTGGCTCGACAGAGCACACGAACAGTACGAAAAAGGAGACGTTCACACAGCACTGGTGAGGTATCTGTACGCAGCCGAAACGGGCAATGAAATTGCGCAGCACAATGCGGCCTGGATTCTGCACCACAACAAGGACGTTGTAGGTAAGTGAGGTGATTGGCGGGGAGGTTGAGTTCTGGATCTTTCTTGTTTGGGGTGGATAGATCCACTTTATTGTTAGGCAGATCTGCTCCTTTACAGAAAAGACGGATATGTTCTTCTGGAAGACTATTTCTATTCTATTATTGGTCAGATCTATATTTTTGAGCAGATCTACTCATTTGGTAGAACGATATATTCTTCTGGGAGACATATCTACTTTATTGGTGGGCAGATCTACACTTTTTGTAGACGTATATGTTCTCTATATTCTGAGATACAGATCTTATTTAATTGCTGGCTGATATGTTCTTGTGGGAGAAAGATCTACTCTATTATTAAGCGGATCTGCTCTTTTAATAGACGGATATGTCCTTCTGGGAGACAGATCTACTCTATTTTTGAGCGGAACTACTCATTTGGTAGACCGATATATTCTTCTGGGAGACAGATCCTCTCTATTTTTGAGCAGATCTACTCTTCTGATAGACCGATATATACTTCTGGGAGCAGATCTACTCTATTGTTAGGTAGATCTATTCATTTGGTAGACCGATATGTTCTTATTCTTCTGAGATACGTATTTTATTTTTTTGTTAGCGGATAGGTTCGTCTGGGAGACAGATCTACTCTATTGTTAGGCAGATCTGCTCTTTTGGTAGACATATATGTTCTTTCTCTTCTGGAGACGGATGTACTCTTTGTCAGGCATATCTTACAGATCTGCTCATTTGGTAGACAAAAATATCCTTCTAGGAGACCGATCTCCTCTATTGTTGGGCAGAACTACACTTTTGGTATTAGGATATATGCTTCTGAGTAACAGATTTACGTTTTCTTTAGGCAGATCTGTTCTTTTGGTAGACCGATATGTTCTTCTGGGAGGCAGATCTATACTATTATTATGAAGATCCACTCTTTCGGTAGACGCATCTATGCTTCTGAGAGTGGCAAGCACATAATTTACCTTGCCCCTCTTTACTCAACACGCTCTTCTGTTAATAGAAACATCTGGTGGACTGAGAATGGCACGCACCTATTCATAACATTACTCCTCCCTACTCTATACGCTTTCCTATAATTAGAAACAACCGGGTGGACTGAGAATGGCACGCACGCCGTTGCCTTTGAGCTGTGGCGAAGGGCCGCTGAGCAAGAGAATGTGCACGCGCGTGTGCGCATGGGCGACTACTACTACCATGGACTGGGAGTGCCACGTGACACGGAGGTGTGTGTTCTGCTGATGTGTTTTGTTGTGAGTTAGTGTGATTGTAGTGGTATGTGTATCTGTGTGCAGCCTAGTACCACGTGTGCGCCTGAGAT